GGATTAACGACTAATACAACTGCCTGCGTAAAATAACATGGTGGTTACATAACAATAAAACAAAGGCTCACAACACAGTCTGCACAATTCATCATTTGTTCAGAAAAAACTAATGTTACTTTCTAAACTTCCTCGATAAAGCCGCCACCACTTCAACAATCTCTGCAATGTTTTTCTTGATGTCCAAAAGTTGTTCCTTGATTTCAATCAGATCAGTAGCAATTACTGAATGCTTCGCGTCCAATGCTTCTATCTCCTCCAGATGGGCATCATCAGCCCACTTGAACACATGATTCTCCCCAAAAACTACCCCGCATCTGTAGAATCTTTGACAAGGGTTTTCCTTTGTTTCTTATGTTAGTACAACAGTCAATTCTCCACACGGACACCACCGAGGTATGCCAGGACCTAGTTCTATGGCCATTTAGAAACCCTGCCGCATAAAAATTTCCCAACATGTACCATAAATACATCCACAATTGCATAATCAGATGATAGGTAAAGAACTTTAGATATACAGAGGAAGGTGTCATAAGAGTCACCTGAAACGAAGATCTTTACTCAGCCTCTCGCCGCAAAAAATAGAGGAGAATGGTAAACCAGCCACCAATTTTAACCTAAATAAAACACATTGCTTTATATACACGAAGAAGCCCTAATTTTACAGTATAACATGTCACTTAAATATATGTGGCCACGTGGTGGAAAATAAATGATATGGTTTGGCCGTTGGACCTCCAACATCACAGTTTTCTAGCTATTAATAAAGTTGGATGGTTACACAAGAATCAAATACATGAAAGCAAAAGAACATAAACAGTCAAGGAAAAAAATATTAACAGTCTACCTCAGATCCAAACACAAATAAATAGATAGTGCAACAGTCAAGAACAAAACAGCATAATGATTCAAGTCTTTCGCATGAAATACTAAAATATTAGATAAAGGACATCACATGGTACCGACAGTTGCTTCATATAGAGATACCACAATCTGCTCCACTTGGCTGTCCATGACGTCCAGGATAATGCATTTTCATGCATCAACCCCACCCACAACATGAGTTTGGATAAAAAGCACAGATGAAACGGAATAGTGTGTGATCACATTTTGCTGAGGTATGGTCCGGGGCCTTTCAATTGCCACGGGTTTGCCCTCTCTCGTCCCAACCTGTCTTCCCACCTACTTCAGAAGATAAGGAAACATCAGCGTGATTGGTCTTACTTCTTTGTTCATCATGTAGTCTGTCTGGAGGGCATTGTTGCAGTCCAAGACAGTGACACTCCAGCTACTGCAATCGACACATATGCCCACCCAGTATTTTTTGTCCAGGTAGAATGGGAAATAAAAACGAACAGCATTAGCGTGAGACGGGAGCTGCATGGGCGAGTCAACAATATTTGCAGTGAATTGGAGCTATCTTTTTTTGAGAGCTTTGTATACAAATTCGTGAACTGAGAGACGAACTGGGTGTCCATAAAAACACAACTGGGCTATTGATTCGCAGATGATTGAGACCGGAAAATGTACTTGTGTGGAACATAAGGACGTCCACACCTGTTTGGAGAAGATTTATGCAAGATATATCAATGATAAACATAATAGGGTATACTAACTATGATTTTTTAATAGAAACAAAGGCAAATTTGGTCATAAACAAACCTTAGTTGATGTGTAGGTTGATCTCTCACCAATCTCATAAAGCTCTGTACTCTGAATATTCTCTCTTTCAGTTGATATGAAACTACATAAATAATAACATAGAACCCATTAGCCAGTTACTAACAACTAAAAGTAGCTAACTTTAGAATTAGCTCTCCAACACGAATACTTGAACTTACAATGTTGTCTTCATTTTGTTCAGTAGAGCAGAAAACTTAGCCGATTATTCTATGTTCCCTCCCTTATAGATAGCATCTGCTACCACCTTTCTGGCACGGTTCAGAAAGCCTATATCACATTCGTACTCACCCAGCCGCGACTTCGTAAGGACCTTATGTCTCTTACTTTTCGTACACCTCATAGCAGCTTCTTCAATACTAGCTCCGACATTGTCTTCATCTCCATCTTCTTGCTCAGTAGTGGCAGTGACATTGGCGCTCTTTGCACACTCAACACGTGCCTCCTGAGTCAGGCCAAACGAGAACATTTGGTTGGAAAATAACAAAGCAGGATCAAGGTTCTGCATTGTTTTAATCCGCCATTAATGGTGGATACATCATATAAGATAAAGTTGCTGAATGTTTGAATAGGGATATTTATATAAGTAACATACCAAATCTGAATCTGACACAGATTGTGGAGGCTTTGAATGATCTTGCTGAACGCCTGGTTGGCCACTATTGTCAGTCACCCCACTAACTCCCGTGGCTGTCTTCAACCCGATGGCCTCCTCCTGTAATGAGATTATGTTAGCCAACTAGAGAATGTGTTAACCCCCAAATATTTACTTAAACGTTTAATATGAAACTTACATCTGCAGTACAATGAGTTGAACGGTTCGCAAAGTCAATTGCCTCTGAAATTATGGTTATTGGATCAGGAATGGTTTGGGTGCCTGCATCAACCACGCTGGGGCGGCGGGTTGGCCTCTCGAGAGGAGCTATGGGAACCGTTGAGGCAAAGTTTTGAATTTCAGCCGATAGGGTTGTCATTTATGCAACACTCGCTTGTACCATTCCAAATAACTCACTGAAATTTGTAAGTATAGTTTCATTGCAGTAAGTGATTCCTGCATATTCGCTATGTTGCCATGTACAAGCTGGAAATCATCATTCATCTTTTCGCTGACAATAGAGGCCCACAAATCCACGTCTACGCCATCTTAGACCTGAGAATTACCAGTCGCCTTGGTTTTAACTGTCGTCCGGTTTACCAATTCAGCTTTTGACTCTTCACACATCCTACTAACATCCTCTTTCGTTGCCCCACCAGCAAAGTATTCACAGGTGAAAAAGAACCGGTCCTCGATTAAGTTTACCATATTAGAGACGCGAACATCATCTTCGTCTTACCATTGGTAAGTTGCATCAACACTTGGCTCCCCTTTTTCATCTAACATGATTGACTGAACTAAAGCCTGAAAGTGAAAAAAAGGACAACACATTTTCTGATATCGTGACCAATTCCGAACTAATGTCTAACAATAATAATCGATTGATGAGTGTTAAAAAATAACCATGTAATTGATATATATATATATATATATATATATATATATATATATATATATATATATATATATACTTTCCCTGCAGTATTTATGTCGCACGCGTGTCCCGGTCTGATGCTTTATTTCCACCTTTTTCATTGTCAGGGGTATCATCATCACCGTCAGAGCGAGATGAACTTCCCTCTTGCACCACTTCGGCCAGGGAAGGTACACATTCAACCATCACACGTTGCAGAGCAAGTACAAACCCCTTTAGAGCAATTATGTTTTGTGTTAGTGAAATTTCCTTTCTCTCCTTTAAGCTGGCATAACATGTCGAATGAGACCCCCCCAAAGATCGGAAAAAAAGTATCCAAATCTTTTATCATCTTTGCGCATTCGTGGGAGATATGAGGTGTATGCGTTTTTGGGAGTAAAAAGGTGGCGAGTAAGGAAAGGTATGCATACTTTAGTCTGACTTCTTTGTCACCCACTGTTTTCTCCTGCAGTTCCTAACAACGGAGGAGACAGGTATCTCTCTTAGGGATTCAAATAGATCAATTAAATATAGTTTATCTGTAATGAAGTTCTTCGCTGATTTTTTTTTATGTTTCGTTTTGGGAAATTTTTGCAGTTTAGACCCGTCACCAACGCGAACTCTCTAATTGAAAACCTAATTGGTTTTCTGGCGAACAGGAACCACGCCTTGTGCTTCTTAGAAACCTCAAGTTGTCTGGATATGATATACCGGCCAAACCTCCTTAAGAAACTAGGTTTCTCGGCGATCTTAATCAATTTTCTGAAAGGCAAAATTTGAATATGTTCAATCTCATCGGGATCAAAAGAATTGAGGATTCCTCTGATTCGGCATGCCTTGTGATATGGAGTGACTCTAACCCCGGTGGGTTCTTCTCCGACGGCGAAAATCCTTTCCAGCAGTAGACATGACGGCCTGCACATTCCGTCAGTCTCATCCATACGGTGCTTTTGTTGGAGAATAATTTTTTTGGGTGGAATGTGCGAAAGAATTATCAGAGCAAAATTTTTGAATTTTGAATTGTTACGCTAACAAACTCCGGATACGCGTCTTCTGACAAAGAGATACAGAAGAGATTAGATCTTGCGCATCTTAGTAGAAGATTTGGCCTACCTTTTACGATTAAGGAGGGGTTTATGTAGTAGGGATAACAGGTAAAAAGACTCCAATGAACAGTGGTCATTTTCTTGGTTTGGGTATATCACTCGTCCAAGTGTTTTGATAGGGCTCCTAATTTCTCTATATATTTCTCTCATTTTAATTCACAACAATTACAAAATAAAAAGATGATGCAAGGCTTACTAGTTACAATTTGTTTCTTTTTTTTTTCTTTCTATACGCTAGGGTTTATTTGTTTTCATACTTCCAAGTCTTGGATGAACCTATAAATTCTGTCTTGATGAGCTCTAAATTTTTTACTTCTTTAGTGATGGAAACTAAGTAAAGTCTCTCATCATCTTATTTTGGTAAATCCTAAGTTGAATGGAGTCTAGCGATATAACCTAGCTGAACAATGTAATGTAGAGATCTAAAAGTCTTTCAGTTTATACTGTGATCATTGTTGTTGGTATTATTGAGTAATTGTTGCAAATGTTTTTACAGTTGTCTTGAAAATATCAGTTATATCCTCTACTTGATTCAGCTCTCGGATAACTTCACATTTCTTGTTTACTAGCAAAGGGACAATGATGCAAATAATAGAAACGAAAGTGCAAATAAGGTGGTGATGACAAAGGATTCAGATTACAGAGCAGTAACATCAAAAACCACTTTAGTTTTTTTTCTTTAATACAAAGAAGAAAAGCTTGCTTTTCACATGTCTTGAAGAAAAATGACGGACATGATCTCTATTGGTGCTTTTGGTTGATATTGTTCATCTGTCTCAACCTCCTCTATCTCCTGTACCACGTCTTGTCCCTTTGCTACTCGACCGAACACTGTCAATTTCTCGTTCAGATCTGTGGTATGACCAGATACAATGAAAAACTCGAATCCTCCTTGCTCGTTTTTAACTTTAGGAGTTGCCACCATGAATTCTTCTTGTTTTAAACTGCATCAAGAAGACATAGAGAGAGAAAGTTACCATATTTGTTATTTTTTTTACATATTTGTATTTGCTAGTAGTAGTACCACCAAACCTGGTACCAAGATTCTTCCTATGGAGTGCCCAATCTTTGATTGCATCGAACTCAGCAGAGTCGCCAGCTTGAATCACGGAATGCTTTACAACTCTACTTAATAAGAAACCTTTGAAATACCCATCTTGACTGCAAGCACAACACAATGCTTATAAGAATTGTGTTAAGAAAAAAAGGCAAATGTGTTATGGACGTGAAAAAAGTGTTGACTTACCATAAGTGGATGAACTGGTTAACAACATTGGGAGCAGTATCCTTGAACAGCTCAATGGTCACTGAACCTTTGCCCGTATCTCTAGAGATCAACACAGAGAGAGATAAACAGTAGAAACAAAAAAAAAAAAAGAAGAGAAAACAGCTTTAAAATGAAGAAACCTAATATGTTATTGTTGTGGGAGTAAGAGTACTCACAGCATAGCGTGGGACATTTGTAGACTTCATTCCCGGGAAGGCTGCATCCTACACAGGACAATCATTTTCAACAAAGGAATAACCTTTGCCGTAGACAGAATAATAATAATAATACCTCAATAACTGATCTACCATTGTGCGTTGTTGGGATCTCAGATCTGTAAGCCACAAAAACTTCTCCTCAATACTATTTTAAATTCACATCTTAAGACACCAAGAAATTAAACACATATACTTTCCTGAACTTGTTTTCAACTAGTCATACTATATGGGATAACAGAATCAGTCTCTGTTTAATAGAGAGAGAGTTAGAAGTAACCTGAGGGTCCAGCGTTTGTAAGCGGAGAAGAGGACAAAAACGACCAAAAGCAGAGCCAAAGTGTAAATGATGATGTTGATAATGCTTATCGGAGAAGGTCCTTTCTTCTTCTTGCTTTGCTGCAACAAAGCTTGTGGCTTTATCTTCGCCATCACTAAACAAAACTGTTTTAGATCCCAAGAAGACAGAATCATAATCAGATTTCAAAAGCATTAGATACACAAATCTCTATGGGATCCATAAATCTCAGACGCTAATAATAATTGAAAGATCAAATCCAAGAAAAGAGAAATGTTCAAGTTCTTCGTTTTTTTTTTTTTGAACAACTTTCAAGCGCAAAAAATCTGAGGAAAGTGAGCACTCGGAGTAAGTAAGGAAATGCTTTACCTTCTCTGTCTTCTTCTCTTCGTCACTCACAAGTCACAACGTTGTGACTCGAAAGTTTCTGTTGTGTCCGCATAGTCTATTGTTCATTTAAAGGGAGAGACGATGATCGAAGATACCCTCTGTTTCGTCCAGAGAGGCAGGCACTTTTTTTTTTTTTTTTTTTTTTTTTAACACCAAATACTTATATTAAAACTAAAAGTCCAATGAACTAGATCCATTACAACCGGAGAGATTCTCGACGGTAAGCTGATAAACGACAATAACTAAAACATGTTGAAAGATAGATATGGCAAAGGAGAGAAGAGACCCGTAGAGAAGCTTCACTTGTAGTCCTGTAGTCCGCGTTCGAAGGAACGCACAGAAGTCGAAGTCGACGTTGAAGAACCCAACCAATGGGTTTTGAAAACAATAATTCCAGGAACTTACGTAGAAGATAACAGCTCCGGTAATAAAGTCGCATAGATGACTCTGTGAAGAACCGTCGATGCTTGAGACGGCATACTGTAATGAAGACGCATCAGTGAAGTAGAAACGAGTAAACCTGGCGAATCCATACTCTTGCACAGTAATTTTTGCGACGAGAAAAGGGGTGGAGGGACCGTAAAGCCGACTCTGTGGAGAACCGTCGATGCTTGAGACGGCATAATGTGATGGAGACGCAGCAATGATGTAGTATCGAGAAGATCTGGCGAGTCCACACTCTTGCACATTAGTTCCGGCAACGAGAAAATGGATGAAAGAATCGCATGACCGTGAAGAACCGTCGATGCTTGAGACGGCGTAGTGTGATGGAGACGCAACAATAACGTAATAACGAGCGAATCTGGTGAATCCACACTCTTGCACAATATATCCGGCAATGAAGAGATGATGTGTCGTACCACTGGTGGAAGAGCTAGGGATCTTTAGAGAAGCCGCCACAAGCTATGTCACTTGACGCCGGTGGTGCCTTTGGCCGCCGGCGTCAACTCCTCCGCCGCTCAGCTTTCGTTTCTCTACGCTGTCACTCGTGTTCCTTTTCCATCATAAGCTTCAAGATCTCTCTCTGCAACTCGTTGAATCCAGTTCTGTCCATGGATATGTTTGGTTCATCTCGACAGCCCTCGTCACCACCGCTTTGCGTCAACCCTCAAAGATCTCTCGACGGTCTCATTGTCACGAGGTTTCTCATCTCATCGACGGAGCACCTGTTTGTGTTACCGTCGGCCGTCTTTCTCCCACCATCTTCGCCGCTTCTTTCCATCTCTCTCCGCCAAGCATCTTCTATCAGTCGAGTTGAAACCATCAGATCTGAATCCCACTCAGTCGTAGATCTACTCCGCTCCCCATTTGACTCTCTCACCTCGACCTCGCCGCAGTCTCTCACTCCTCATCTAGTGGTGTTTAAAGCTCTGATTCACTTTCTCATCTGGAGCCACCGTTCAGTTCGAAACGCTTCTAACACCTCGTCACCATCTCTGCTACAGGGCTTTGACTTTCTTTTGAGCTTTGGGTTGTACGTAGAAGCTTCCATGGTGAAGTTTTCGTTTAGAGGCAGGCACTTTGATTTTCAAATTTACATGCCCGCCTGTAACTTTCGTTTTTTTTTTTTTTTTTGCAAGCTCCAATTTTATTTATTTCAATTCGGGATACAAAGTAGCATCTCAACCCTCTACAAACATCATCTCTAAAGCCCAAACCGGCCTAACTCTAAAAAACATCAAAAAATTGACATCCATAATGCCAAAACCGAAACTTCTCCATGCCCCAATGTCTGAGCACGCGCTAACGGATCCAACCGAAGCCTTATGATCTGCTTTATCTCTGCAATTCGAACCTCCGGAGGACAAGCACTATCAGAGTGAATTCTTGAGTTTCTCTCCTTCCAAATTATGTAAAGACAAGCTTGAAAAAGCAACCTCACAATCAACTTCACATTCTTATCTCTTGATGGGGCCTTCAACCATCTGAGTCTTTCTTCAAACAAAGCCGGAGCTGACAAGTGCAGTCTAGAAGTGAAGTAAGACCACACCTGATCACTAAATTCACACTCAAAAAACAAGTGCTGCCTGCACTCATTATGTCCCGTACACAACACACAGCTAGGCGACACCACTAACCCCCACCGCAGCAGCCTATCTCTTGTCACCATCCTATCTCTTGCTGCCACCCAAGATAGGAAAGCATGCTTTGGGATACGACCCGAGAACCAAATCACCTTATGCCAAAACACTTCCACTTCACTGGGGAATAAAGCTCTCCATGTCCCACTAGTAGAAAAGGTCTGTGAACCATTCCCACCATTAGTAATCCAAACATAATTATCGTCCACCTCCGAATTAATAATCGGCTGAGAGTCCGGCACACTATCTCTAAGGAAAGAAATGATCGGATTCCTGCTTCTACTTCTTTCAAACCGCCAACCTTCATTCGTTAAAGCATCTGCCACCACCGCATTTATACTAATCCCTGTGACAAGAGGACCAGTCTCACCAACCAGCTGAATAAGAGGACCGAGAGAGGTCCAATTATCCAACCAAAAACTCGCTGTAATCCCTGATCCAACCTGACAATGGAGGAAAGGTCTTGCTACAGATCTCAGCTTACACAAAGCTTTCCAAATCCAACTACTGCTACTCGACGGTTGCAACGTCCAGAAATTCTCTAAACCAATCATAAAAAATGTAATATTTGATTTGATTCTGTTTAGGTTTTGGTTTGGATTAGGTGCAAATTATAAGGTTTTATTTACCCAATAAAAATCAAGTTCAACTTAGACAAGATTTAGATATTCCAACCACTTATGTTGCTAAACATAAATAATTTTTTTAAAAAGAATATCATGTAAAATAAATAAATAGTTGACCGCATTAAGTCTTGCTGCGAGTCTTTTTTTCCCAGTTTTTTGGGCAATTTCTACGAGTCTATAAGCACATACCTTAAGTTTCTAACCAAGACACAAATCTCATGAACGCTTCGTGGCGCATCCGTGAGTGTGACTCATGTTTTTTTTCACGAGACTAAAATCATTACACGCATTTTCTAATTGGACCCAACAAGACTCTCAAGTTCCACGTACGCAATGACATGGCTATGTACCCAACTCTTGGAAGAAACTAACTTCTTCTTTTACCTTAACTCTCTCCTGTATTGAAACAGAGGGATGCAAATAGAGATGATCAGATCTCGTGAGAGGTTCCTTCTAATAAAGATAATCAAAAGGTTTAATTAATTACCTGATACATTTTTATGAACAGGTTGTTTCAACAGCCAATACCGGACACACTTTATTGTTTTCCTGATCCTGAAAACACACATGAAAAAAGGCTCGAGTTTACTCGAAAATACTATTAGAATATGGAAGTCGAGGCAACACATTTTAGAAAGTAAATATCAACCGTTGTGGATAAGGATGGTTGTTGGAGTTTAGTAGTTGTCTGTTGCAATAGATCATCAGACAGATGAATCTGCTCGCTGTTTTCGACTTCCCCTTGGCTTCTTTGGTTGTTTAACTGGGGAGATGATATACTTTTTTGATCTTGTAGTAGCCTTGTTTGCTCTTCGTACCATCTCTCAAACATGGAGTACTCCTCGGGTTTCTCCCACTGAGTATCATAAAAATTCAGTCTAACTAGACACAGATCCATCAAGTGGAGTACAGAGGGAAAAAGTATTTACCGTGCTTTCGCCAGTGATACAATGGAAGTAATACTTATTCCCATCAGGACAAGTGTGTTCACTCCAGTCACACTCAGAGTTCTCTGTATTTTGGTCTTCAGGCAATGCATTTGAATTACTAGAAATTTTCTATAAGAAAAGAGAGTAGAAACAGATATGAGATCAAACAGATGTATACAACGAAATCTAAAACAATTTACATAAACTAGTGGTCCAGATTTGAACATCCGTCGTATACCATTAGCAGATCATACTACAAAAGAAGTTACCTCCAAGCTGACAGTCTCAAATTTCTGATGCTTCTCAGAATCCTGCTGATGCAGCGGCTTGTGAACTTCAGATACTGCTTGACCATTTTGCTGCGGGAAACGATTTGGATGTGAAGCGATATCATGATGATGAACGACTCTCGGGGCTGCTGGTTCTTTGTTTCCCCACTGAGGATATGGTTGTGGGTGCCAATTTGGGTCCAACTGTATTGCCGTTGAAGGTGGAGCGTTAAAGTTAAACCTGAAGACACAGAACAAACCAGAATATGTTGAGATGGAGTAATCAAATAAATGGTTGTCGAAAAGGAAATAGAGCAAAGAGTAGAAGAACCTTGGTTCCCCAAGACGGGGTTTCTTAGGATCAGCAAATCTAACAATCAGAGGTTGGTCAGAACCCTGAGAGGAGGAAAAGACATAAATACAAAAAAAAGTCACCAAATGACGCAGCACCGAGTTACAGCAAATAATTGTCAGCAAAAAACCTACACGCATGGTAAAGAGTCCATTTAAAGCTTTGATTGCCTCTAGTGCCATCTCCCTACGGGCAAACTGAACAAATGCAAACCCTGTAGAGAGCAAACAAAATTAGTTTATAATCTGGAACATCACATTAAGACAGAGGCTTGAAGAAAGAGCAAAAACTAACAAGATAATAAAGTGATTTTCATATAGCTCCATAGTTCATATAAACCAATGTTTCACAAGTCTCATAACAGCTTATGAAGTGCAAAATTATCTTGGGTTACAAAAGGGCGGGCTATATAGAAGTTTTACAAACAGTTGTTGAGCACATGAAGTATTCACAATCTACTGGAAGAGGAACTACAACATATGAACAATTCAAACTAGGATGAGTTCAAAGTCAAGCACCAAGAAGATATGCAGGGTGAAGGGACATATTACCACGGCTAATCTTCATGTCGTCGACTGCCATATAAATATCTTCAATGATTCCGAACCTAGAAAATACCTGAAAATTTTGTTCACACTTAAATGAATGAAGCCATGGAGAGTATGGAATTTAACTATATAACTCTGGAGATAGGAAAACAAAATTATGCACACAGTTCTGTCAATTTTCAGTGGGAAAAGAATTCAGATAAAGCTAAAAATGACAACAATACCTCATGGACTTCCAATCTTGTAGTTTGTTTACTGAGGCATCTAACATATAGTTTATCTGGAAGCTGCACAGTTGAAAAACCTAAAGTCTCCAGATGAAAAGAGAAGAGACAAGTGAGAAAAAAAGAAAAAAGAAAAAAGAGAGCATCTATCGTAATCAGGAACTTGCTAATATGGTACTAAGAATAGAGGGAAAACAAGAAGCAGATTGGAGGCATGAGAAATAAAATACTAACCAAGGTCGAACCATGTATAACTACGTTCTATCTAATGTTGTGTTCCTAAAGAGTATGAAAGAGCAGTCTTACCATTACCAATCCGTTCACGTTCTGCGTCGGCATATCTGACCTTGACTGGAGAAATTTCCTGAAGTAACGAAACAATATAAACTCTTTGAAAATATCGTCTACATCAGTGAAGAAACGAGTTTTTGAAGCTAAAGAGACACACACACCCCAGGAAAGGTAAACTGCTCAGTTAACGAAGCAATAGCGGCACTACCCTCTTCTAATTTTCTGTACTTGACAAAACAGTAAGCTGCAAAAGGGTCGAGGATTGTTAATAGGCAAAACTGATATATATATTCCCAAGAACATCAATGAAAATGCAAAAGTCACCTGCTCGATCACCGCTCATCTTATCCTTAGGAAAAATGATCTCGGTGACACTACCATATTTTTCAAATACCTGACGGACCTGATGAATTAACAAAGATTGTGACACTGGAATCTGAATAAACACAATCTCATGAGACTATTAATAGAACTAACATCGTATTCCGTGGCTGTCATGGGGACAGGCGCAACATATAACTTGACAACACTATTACCATCACCACCACTAGGATCTGAATAACAATAATGAAGAAACTCTAAAGTTCACACCTTTTGAATCAGAGAACAAAAATAAATAAAAAGAAGGAAACTTGGAGGGGTAACCTGGGGTAGAGGATAGAGAGCGTCTCTTCCTTGAGGAGCTGCCACTGCCGTCAACGATCATATGTTGTTGTTGTTGCTGGGCGGGGTAATGGTTATCAAACTGCGGCTGATTGAAACGCTGATCTCGGTTGTCGTTTTGTGGGTATTGGTGGAATCCAACGGCGGAGACATGGTGGTGCGGCGGCGGATGAATCTGGTGATGATAATACGGAACTTGTGGTGGTGGTGGACCAGGGAACGAGTTTGTGACACGTCTCTCCATCTACTTAACCCTTCTCAGGGAGTCGCCGGTCGAGAGAGAAAGAAGAAGAGTCAGTCCTTGTGGTTCGGTTGTTTAATACTGACTACTGAAACGACAGCGGTTGGAGTTATGTTTCAATGCACCCTTCCTCTCACTAGAGTATGTCTCGGGTTTTCTCCCTCCAGACGTGTTAGTTGTAGGTAGGTCTGGGCAATTTCGGGTATCAATTCAGTTCTATTCGAATATTTCGATTATCGGGTAATTCGGGTATAGAATTAGAAGATCCATTTATTTCCACAAGTAGGGATGATCCATATTTGCAGTTCTCGTTTTGGTTCTGATTCGGTTTGATTATTTCAGATATAAAAACATATGAACTATTCAAATATTTGAGGGTTCGGTCTGGTTCTGGTTTCGAGTGTTTGAGTTTGACTCTGGTTTTTTTCTAAGTCTAGTTGTAGGCATAGGCACGGAGCGGATATCCGAAAAACTTGCAGTATCAAATAAATATTTATTTTTGTGATTTTCCATATCGTAGCAAACCTAATAAGAAAACTCGTATGCTAACATTTAAGGCAACATAAAAATTAAACTGGATATGCAATAATCCAATACAAATTTGAAAAAAAAGTAACTTAGAATGATAAAATTAACCAAATTATATCATAAAATATATATAGATGTAATAGTTTATATATACAACTAATTATATACTTATAAATATACGGATCAGATCGAATATCCGACTTTTCAAAAAAATTATTTTGTGATTTGTTTCGGTTTTTACGGATATCACATTTTGATATTTGCTTTGATTGAAAACTTTACAGATATTACAAAATTTTGGATCGAATCAAAATAAATAACGGATCGAATCAATTTTTTATTATAGAAAACAAAAATCAGTTGATAATTCTATGAACGACATGCATCCTTTTTTAAAAAAGTATTCACTTTTGCATTGTTTTGTAAAAGGTTAGGTTCGTTATAATCAATTTCGTTTGATATTTCATTATTAACTAGATTCTGATTCACCTTTGAAAATGACGAGTATAATTTTGTTTTAATAGAATATATATTTTTTGTATCCAAGTTAACATATATTTAAATTTCATCTATAATAAATTAAAGTAAAAATAAAGAGTGTTTAATGAAAATCGTAACATAACTTTTTATAAGTGATATTTGCCATAATAGTAGTAACTTGAATAGTGTTAATAATCTTAAATTTTAGGAATTAAATGACTAAGTAATAAGAATTAAACATAGTTATAAATTATTAATAGATTAGTAGTCAAACCAAAAGGAAAGAATAATTATATATATACAGGATGAGTAATATATATTTTCATCGACACACATGTTAAATCATTACTTTTTTAATATTATATAGAAGATATATGTTAATCATTTCAGAAGTAATTTTGTTGAGGTGTCAATTTCTTTATGATTTAGTTAGTTTTGCTTATTTACCATGTTTAAATAATTTTATATATAATAAAAACGAAATTTATATATAATTTATCATATTATATTTTAGAAATAAATTAATTATTTTGTATTACATTGTTATCTTGGAAATATATTTTGTATTATTAAATTTAAGTGAATTTGCTGATTGATTTGTAATTTTTCTGTAATTTAAATAATTTTACTTATTTGTCATATTTTTAACACTTTCATATATAATTTGTTATATATGAAAACAAATTTATATTAATGATATTATATTGTTAGAAAATGATATAATTCTGATTATTATGTTATTATCTTAAAAATATATTTTCTATTATAAAATTAAAATATAAGATATAAAATTTATAATTGAATATAAATCAAACAGTGCTGATTTGTTAACCTATTTGTGATTCTAGGTAATTTTACTTATCATTCATGTTAAATAATTTCATATAAGTTATTATTTCTTATATATAATTAGTAATAATTTCTATTAATAATATTATATTATTAGAAGATAAGATATTTCTTATATATAATATTTTTATCTTGAAATATCTTTTCTCTTATAGAGACAAAAAAATTAAGATATAAAATTTTATAATTAAATATAAATTAAGCAAAATATTAAATATATATATATATATATATATTAATATATCTGATGTGTGGTTAATGTCATTTATAATTAAGTAAAAAATTTAAGCATAATTTATTATGTTGTTTTTGAATTAGTAAAATATAAATTAATAAGTCTTGTAGAAAATTATGTACCCATACGTGGACAAAAGACCCAATTAGATAGAAGATATATGTTAATCATCTGTAGGTATAAACCAAAATGACAGAATAATATTTATTAATCATTGAATAAGTATATGTATTTATGAGAAGTGGGTCTCCCTCTCTCTCTCTCTCTCTCTCTCTCTCTCCCTCCCTCCCTCTCTCTCTCTCTCTCTCTCTCTCTCTCTCTCTCTCTCTCTCTCTCTCTCTCTCTCTCTCTCTCTCTCTCTCTCTCTCTCTCTCTCTCTCTCTCTCTCTCTCTCTCTCTCTCTCTCTCTCTCTCTCTCTCTCTCTCTC